AAATATTGTTACTTTAATATTTGTCGTAGGTTAATAAAACCAAATTTAAATTAATGTCTGTTACAATTAAATAAGCATGTGTGTTGAATGGTCGGAAAATGAGATTCGCAATTATAACGTGTCTCGAGACCTATAACACAATTGCATTGAATTAATAAGAACGCGCGCCACAGTTCCTCTCTCTACTTGTTCTCTTTCTCTCTTCCTCTCTCGACACCGATTTCCCGACACGGAAATTTGTCATCGCGCACAAGAAACGTTCCCGCCGCTGGAAACTCGACGCGACCAAGTAACCGCGATCCAAGTCGCCAAAGTGAAGACTCTGCGACGTCCGGATATTAACAGGGCAAGACGCTATTACGACCGAGGTTCAACTTCCCGCAATCCCGGTCGTCGAAACGCGACGGCGGGGGTCGTTTGCGATTTACGTTTCGCCGGTGGAGTCCGCGCGCGATCAAGTTTCTAGGTCCGTTCGCGAGCTTGCGGTTACGTTTAGTTCGTCTGTACGTCGAAATTATACTCTGTGTATGTGTATATATATATATATATATATATCGCTCTCCCTCTCCCTCCCTCCCTCCCTTTCCCTCGTTCGTCCCTATTGTCCGATATGCATGTGTCCGCCTCAGGTTCTCTTGCAGAAACGCTTACGGCGATCGGATAATGCACCCAACTATCGAATTTAGGCAGTGCCGTGCTTAGATCACCGTGGTAATAGTGTAGTTGAAACTTTTGCGGGAAATAAAATATTACCGAATCCAAAACACGATTCGAATCAGTTTGGAATCTGCGAGAAAACTTTCAACATCGAGTTGAATTTATATCGAGGTTTTTTCAAGTTGTGGAACGCCTCTTGAAAAATACATATTTCACAAAATACTTATATTTATTTTTAAATATGTAAAATTATATAAAAATATATAAAGTTTATTTTTCAGGAAAATACAAAAACTAACATTGTTTTATTTTTTTATATATTTAACTGATAACATGTAATTATTTTTCTAGTTTTATATAAAATACAGATAAAATGAAAAAAACGAGAGAAAAATGAAAGAAAGTTTGACTGATACTTGAATACTTTTTTTTTTTCTTTAACAAGACGGAATTAGCTATATGAGCTTCACCGATTCCCAATCGCTGCCCGGAGCTTATTTCCCACCAGAAGTATACGAGGTCTATATTACATCCCTATTCGTGACCCCTTTGGCCCACCACAGAACCCGGGGTGCGGTGTATCTCCAATAGCGAGAATCTGGCACGTTTCCAAACGACGACTACGACGACGACGAAAATGAGATTCCTAGTTTAATGCGACGGGCGAGACGACGTAAGGCAACGTGCTATCCGTGAACGTCGATTCGCTAGCGGATCCGCGGTATTCACCGTGTTACGTCGTTCCTCTCATTTGTTAACAGTAGCGAATCGTGCGAACTATTCGCGCACTCAAGACGTGACGCGACACAAATTATTATACAATTTATATCCGCGTTATTATCGCGAGACAGGTTGCAACGCGAAATGCTGTTCCGCGATTTCGCGCACGTGTGAAATTCCGCGAGTTCAAGAAGAAGAATCACCAACGAGAGAGAGGTTCGCGTATCTTTGCGATTCACGCACGAGATAATTTCCAATTGAAATCGACGACCTCGATTTGCGAGCCGATATGTATACGTATACGTCGCGCGCATTCCGATGCGTCGCGACGCGACTCCCGCTTCGAGAAGCGCCGCTCGTTCGAACGCGAAATTTATTTCTCGATTTTGTCCCGATGAGAGTCGCGAAAAGTTACGAGGAGAATATCCGATACCGGTTGAGGTGTATATATATATGTACAACACGGAAGGGATGTTACCCGATCGATCTTCTTTTCTTTACTTAATAATAGAAAGGAATTCGTCTTACTTCTCTCCACGACGTCTTATTGTCAGGAAGAGAAGAAGGAAGGAGAGGTTTAATTACACGGATAACTAGGCACGCCGCTAATAAATCATTCTTGATGCTTTTGTAAAGGTCGATCGGGGAACTTTATTTCATCGGAAGCTGCTGCACCCCCGTATAGAGAGAGAGAGAGAGAGAGAGAAAAAGAGAGAGGAAGAGAAGAGAGAACGACTCCGCGTAACGCGAAACAAACTCAATTATTTATGTGCGCATTAGCGACGCGAACTAACGAGGGGTGTGCTTAATGAATTACTGAAATCGTATTCAGCCGGAAAACCATCTGCGGTTATGCAATGACGTTAAACAAAGCGTTAATCCTCTGATGCATTTTGGGGCGAGTTAAAATAACCGCATGCGTTGCACATAATTCTCTTGTCTTGTTTGTGTGTGTACGTACGTGTTGCATACAGTGTTGGAAACATTGGGAATATTAGCTTGCTAACCCTCTCTGGGCTTAATAATATCGCGTGGTCGAGATTACGGACTAATCGTAAGAAAACACACTATGGTCGCGCGCAATCCGGTTGCGCAAAACACAAGATAATCAAATTGCGCTTGCGTGACACTCCACCGTTCTCTAAAGGCATAAAGAGTCAATTTCGATCGCAACAGTTTCGCGCGTGATAATCTTATCTTATCTGAAATGTGTTCCCGAAGAAGCTGCTGTAAAGACGATCTTCTTCTCACTCTCTCGTCTCTCACCGAGAACTATAAAATATTTTAATCACTCATCGTCTTCGGTGGTAAGATAAATGTCTCGTAATAATCTAGACACTTGTGTGTGTGCGAAAGAAATAATTATGCATAAAAATAAACGTAACAGTTTTCAATGTTTCAAATATTTGTTTAAGATATGTTTGAAAATATTTTTAAGATACCCCATGTAGGAATTGCCGACAGACTTCCAGTAATACTACTAGGCCAACAATGGCCCAACCTTTATAGCCGATACTCGATATTGACAATTGGTCCAGTATTGTCCTATTTTTGTATTTTATAACAGCCCAATATTGGCCCGTTTGTTCACCAGTGTTCGGCATTCATATTGGGCCAGTATTGGCAAGAAGACAGGGCCGATATTGGGCCAGTATCGGCAAGAAGACAGG